GGAAAGCTGGCTGAGTAGGAAATCTACAACTAGAAAGAAGGAGAGAGGCTCACGGATCAGGGGAGCCCCCCAACTACACTGAACTCCCCAACTACAATGAACCCCATGGACCCAGGCTCATACGGGTGGTGTCTGAACTGTAGAAAAAGGCACCCGGAGACTCAGAGACTGGGAGACTCGGGGAGCCAGGAGCCAAAACGGACAGGCTCTAGAGTTGCGCGCAATTAAGTGCGCGCAGAGAGGTCTGACCTCGGAGGTTGTCGCAGCCTCTCCATAGCGGAAGGAGTCATAAGCTCCTGACTGCACCGAATCCCAGTTCCGACTACACTGAGCACTGAAACCCAGTTCAGGGCAAGCACCTAGAGCACCCACACTCTTACAAGGGGAATCTGGACTGTCAAGAGGAAACTCAGGAGATCTGTGGAAGGCAGAGGTCTAAGGCGCGCACACAAGGGCAGGACTTATGGGAAGCCAAGACTGTCAGCTCAGCCCTGAGACTTCGCTCCATCCAAGCTGTGCTCAGAGGCTTTTGCAATTTTGCAAGTCTGATCCTGTAAGACTGTCTCCAATACAGAGGGTATCCTGGTGTAGACACAGCTGATACTCACATCAAATTGGCCTGGAGGTCAATTCCTCCCAGTGATACCAACAACAATCAAGACTTAACTACAGCCAAAACCCGGTTTGGCTCAGTGGATAGAGCTTCAGTCTGTGGACTGAAAGGTCCCAGGTTCGATTTTGGTCAAGAGCATGTACCTTGGTTGCGGGTACATCTCCAGTGGGAGGTGTGCAAGAGGCAGCTGATTGATGATTCTCTCTCACTGATGTTTCTAGCTCTCTATCCCCCTCTCATCCTCTCTGTAAAAAATCAATAAAGTAATTTTTTTTTTTAAATGTAAAAAGCCAAAAAATTTTATTTTTGCCTCAGGTACTATTATTTCAGACACCTCCTAGCCAAGAGAGGATGTCTTTAACATGATAATATACAAATCTGGTACGTTCACACTGGGTTTTATAATGCCAGACAAACCTAACTGCACACAGAACTTCGGTAGTACACGGAAGGGAGCATCTGTAGCATCCTGATCGCAGGCTCTTACCTGTGACTAGGTAGTTCATGATGAGGCGATTCATGTCTGCCCGCTGCACGTGTAAGTTATTGAGTTTTTCCATCCACTCATCTTTCGTGATTTCATCAGGTTTTTCTGTGTAACTCATTCTGCTTTATTTCTACAGGGAAAAATATTTTAGGAATTGGTGAAGAATTCTCTAACAATTGTGATCATTTCAGAAACAAACACAGTGACGTAGTAAGAAGCAATAGAGAGTGGGAAGATACTTTAAATCTGGAGAATAGCACACGCAAAGGGCCATCAACCCCAGCACAGGGTCAGGGACCAGGAAGACTTGTCATAAGGTAGGATGAATGCAAGAAAGAGCCAGGGGTCAAAGAACCAAGATGTCATCTGAGGTGGAACTGAGCGAGGCTGAGGAGGGAGTTTACATAAAGTCTCTCCAAAGTGCAAAGGGCAGCTGTATGACCCAAAGAATTACATATTATGACATACATACTTAAGAGGAACTGGTAATCGACCACCAGACCAACAAGAACTAAGAAGTGACACCACCAGCATCACAAAGACCCAATGACCAGAGTTACTGAGCTCTCACTGCGTCAGAGCAGGCTGCACTGGGAGAAATCTGCAGCCCTCAGGAGGCCACACACAAGTGTTCCCACAGCCCCAAGATTCTACTCCCGCCAGACCACACGTCCAGAACTCACCACATTCACCAGACATACGAGCCTGTTCACAGAAACACTGTTCCAGATGGCAGGAACACAGAAGACATGAGCCAGACGTCCAAACCCTGGGGCGGGTGTGTGAGGATCCAGAACTTTTCAGACCACACAAAACTAAGTGACAGTTTACACTATATGGCATGGTGCCTTCTTGGGTTTGGGGCAGCACCCCATTATCAAACATCATCTCTTCTGTGAAATGGGTATTAGTGCTGAGGGGAATATAGGCCATTCAACAGCCTCCACCACTTAATAGGTGAAAAACAAAAGCAAACACTTGGTTTTCAGAGCTATTTGGATTTAGGTTGCTGAGATGGGATTGAGATCGACTGCTCATATGGCAGAAGTTAAAATAAATGAAGTTAAAATAAACGAAGGGAGTTAAAATAAATGAAGACAGCTCTTAGAAACCAGCTGAGGAATACAGCAGGTTGCAGCAGAGGCCCAAGAGTGGCAGGCAGCTTAGTAAAGAACAAAAACAAGGCAAACTGCAAAAGGTGCTTTGGCAGTAAATACACATGAAATGGGAAACTCAGGAGGTGCAACCAGGAAGAAGGGGTGGACAGGTGCAGGCCCTGGGAGAACCACCCGGGCTTCTGAGGTGGGGGTGCTGCTGACATACCCATCAGGAACACTGCTTTATAGCGGCAAGCACATGCTCAATGCTTCAATACACTTTAAAAAATTACAAGATGGCAAATGCGGAGTGGTGAGAGTTGAGAAGGAAGACCAGTAAGGAGCCACCCAAACAAGAGGGACCAGAGGCAGATGTGCTGGGGACGCCTGTGGGCCTTGCTGCTGGACTGAATGAGGTAGAATAAGAGGACGACTGGAAGGATGAAGCTGAGCCCTCGAAGGATGGGGCCACAGTGAGGAGGCAGCGCTGGGACAGGAACAGGTTTGGGGAGCAGGGCCAGTTTGGGCTGCCTGTCAGACATGCAGCTAGGCAACTCCAGCAGGCACCTGGATTACAGGTCCTGAGCTCAGTGCCGGGAACATTAATTAGGGAAACATTCGCCAAAAAGTAGGGACAGCCAGGTCACCCAGGGAGACAGTGTGGGTAGAGAAGCAAAGGGACACAAAACAAAGTCCTGGCTCGTGGGCGATGCCAACACTCAGAGAGCACCGAGACAAAACCAAGAGACGCTTTTCTTCAAACTGAGCGAGGCCAACTGCGTCACTCAGACCAAACTCTCATTCCCACACGGTACAAAAAGACACCTGTAGGTCTCTGCGTTCTCAGGGGCAACCACACCGACTACACCGCTCCCGGACGGCGAGAGAGACTTCCGAAAGCGACCCCTTCGGAGAAGTCAGCAGCCAAACTCCAGCAGACACAACTAAACAGTCCAGCTCCGACGGAGGGCACTTGCTCCCCAAACAGCAGTGTCCGTCCGTTCTCGCCGGTTCGGTGTCTGCAGGGAGCAGTTGTTAGAAAAATCGATCTCCTGGCAAAGGCACCAGTGCCGTGTCTCAGTATTCTGGTTCCGAACGCCGGGCCCCTCCCGGCGGTATTCTCCCGGTAGGACCACAGTGCCGGGCAGCTTCGGCCGGAGCAACGGGCAGTTTGACTTGCAAATCCAGGGGGCGACGCCGCCGCCGCCGCCCGAGAACAAGCCGCGACCTGACATCTGCTCGGATCTGGGACCCCTGAAGAAACCGCGCAGGTCCGACCCCCTCTCCAGCCCCCTTTTGGCCCCGCCGTGCTCCTCGGGGACGCTCGGCCCGACCGCCGGGGCCCACCTTGGCCATCTTACCGTGTGGATCCCGCCTCCCGCGCTGCGCAGTTCCCGCGGCCGCTCTGGGGGCCGGGCCGGGCGGGGAGGGGCGGCGGCGAGGGGCTGGGGGAGGCGGAGGCGGGGGCCGCGACAGAGGCGGGGCGGGAACGCGAGAGCAGACACACCGGCTGCCGTCCCCCACAGCCTCTTCCCGCGAGATCGCGAGATCGCGAGCCGGCAGCCAATCAACTGCTCCAGCGACAGGGCGTGGCGCGGCGGCTGCCCGGAAGTGCTGAACTACAGCTTCCGTCCTTGCGCTGAACGCTCTAATCGGCGCCCTAGCTCTACGGGTTGGCGCGAGAGTCAAAAGGCATCGTCCGCCTCTGGGCAAAATGGCCGCTGTGCAGGCGTCGCTGTGGGAGTACTTCACGCGAGGAATGCTGCCGCTAGACTGAGTCCGAGGCGAAGGTGCCAGTGTCCCTTCCGTCGTTTGTGTGAGCCCAGAGGGCACGGGACGGGGTTGGGTGGGCACAGGCGCCGGGGCCCCGGGCCGCCCCGAGGTGAGGTTCTTCCCGACCGGCCGCACAGGCCCGGGAGGAGCCGTCCGAGCGCGGTCAGCAGGAGCACCCCGTTCAGCTGTGTGGCGGCCCTGGTTCCCGGCCGTGTCGGGAACGCGCACCAACTCCTGATGCATCAGCTCCCGCCAGTCCCGGCGGACGGACGGACGGGCGGGCGCGGTGGCGACGGCGGGGTCCCTAGCGCGCGGCGCGCACCTGGGGGACGCGGAGGCGCACGGACACCGGAGTTTGCGGGTCGCAACCCGTCTGCTCTACTAGAAGGCAGGCTCCGAGCAGGGCGGGTTTTCCCCGTCGCGGGAGAGGGAGGTGGAGCGATTTCGAGCGCCTCGGGAAGGCAGCGGAGGGCGGCCCCGTCCGCGCCCCTTTGAAACTCGAGGGGGCATTTTATTACTAGGTGGTTCTGTCCATGCTTAGCTGAACCAAGACCCCGGGAGGCCGGTTAAATTGGGGGCGGGGTGATCTGGTCACCCTCCCACTGTATCTTCATCTGCATGTATTTCCTGTTTCGGATGATGCCATTAAGTCCAAGGCACTGGTTATGTCATAAGTTTCTTTGCAAGAGTAAAAGCAACAGTAATATTTTAATGTTTAACTCCTGATGTTATAACGTAGATTGTGTGCAGCATAGTGCCACTTCGAACAAATGGGGTGGCCTGGGGGTTTGACGGGCCGTCCTACTGCAGACCAGCAGGGCACAGGCGGCACCCCTGGTGGCTCGTGTTGACTGTGCCATTCAGACCTGACTGGTCCAGAATTCGAAATACAGATTGTTTTAGGAGTTGACCCATCTTTTTTTTCTCAATTTAAATTATATCATCAATACACACGTATGTGTACATAAATGCACGCAATATATATGTTCACGGCCACATATTTTGTGGGTTTTTTGTTTTTGTTTCTGAATATGTTTTAAGGATTCTTTTTGCATGGCCCAGATGTTGTAATAGGATGTTTGGCCAAAGGTGGCGCCACTGAATGAAGATGAGACATTTTTCAGTTAATGACCATATTTTCCCCTTTTTTAAAAACACTTGCAAAATTTTGCCTTTTTTGACTTTGAAATCATCTTCATGCTTTGAGTACTTTGTGTTGGAGGGAGAGGAATTTTGTGTCTGACAGGCTCCCAGGTTTTCTCATTCCTCTGCACAACCAACCATTCCACCTTTATAGACAGAGTTGGGTGCTCTTGTTTTTCCTTGGGTTCCTACATTTTGGAAGCAGTTGGTTTAGTATGGAACTCAAAAATCCCTGTTATGGAAGGATGATTAATTGGTATTGATTTTTTTGAAATGCAGAATGAGAACCTTTAGGGTATACTTTCAGAATCCCTAAGAGCTCAGCCTCTGTTGTTTTTGGTGTTTCTGCCAGACACCTTTCTTGTTTTTACCGTTTTGTTTTAGCGAGCCAGAAAAGAAAAAAAAAGAAGAAAAAAAAAGGGCAACCAGTTTTGGGGTGCGGAGTCTAAACCACCTGCAGCCAGGCTAAGAGGGAAAGCCAGACACTCATCTGTCCGGTGTTTTGCTACCAGTTTTATACATTGGATGAGTGAGAGATGTAAGCCTCTGATAGGATTTACATTAGTTTTGAACAGCGGGGGCGGGGGACTAGTTCTGGGTGGCCCTCCTGGGATTAGCTGTGGCTGCTGATGGGGAGATTCATGTGCTAATCAGAGAGGGAAGCTCCTGGGGTTTGAGGGTGGCTGGCTATTCTCTTTTGGATAATCATGAAATAGCCACCTGGAAATTAATTCTAAATTCTGACTGGTATGTAAGCAGATTTTTGTTAGAGCTGGCTTTATATACAATGTCAAAGTGGTAAAAATCAGATTTTTTAAAAATAAAGTGTTTGAAGCTTTTGTTAGCTATAAAAAAATTGCTAGATTTATGTTCCTAGGGATTTATATTCTAGCCACAGGGAATGGTGGGTGTAACCGTTTCATTCACGTATTTTAATCCCACAGATGGTTAAGAGCACAGCCTCTGGGTATCAGGCAACCTGGAGCGGGGTGGGTGGGTTTATTGGCCCTTCCCTTCCTGTAGTGCAGCCTGGGGCAGCCCAAGGAAACAGTGCCACTGGAATGTGCCACTGCGTTCTCTCCAGTAAGCCTTGGGCCAGGGTGTGTGTGAGGTCCAAGCCTTTTAGCCCACGACCCCTGAGTTTTCCCTAATTGCTAGCAGAGGTTAGGGAGGCCCAGCGAAGGGGTGCAAGAGGTCTGACCTTGGCCTTTCCCACCCCCTCGGGAGGTTTTTGGGCTGCTCCACATCTATGAATTCCAAGTGAGAGTAATAATAAAACTTCGTTGCTGCCTCGATAGTTTTGAATTGTCCTTGGAAAGGGGCAGAACCTCAGAGGGCGGATTGTGGCTCTCAAGGTTGCACTTGATCCCAACGGTGTTCTGCTTTAGGGTTTTCCTTTGAGACCAGACCCTGCTTCCCAATGGGCTTTAATTCAGGGTGAGAAGAGACTGAAAGCCAGGAAGCAGTTTGTTGAAGGACTGGCGAATCCCAGGTCTTTTCTGCTTTGATTGACTTCCATGAGGTGTGGGGTAGCAGGACCGTATTGGTACTAATCATATTTTTCCCACAAAGCTCAAACCCCATTGAGGCATGGTAGCCTCCTGCTCCTCTGGCCTCTGAGCCACTCCGGTTGCCAGTCCACAGGACTTGGGGTGTTTGTTATGCATTGGGGTTATCTAAGGAAGAATTTGAGACACTGGAGACTACTTTTAAATTTAGGTTATTAAAATAATTTTGTTAGGAGGAAGTATTTCTTAGCTGGTAGAGTTCAACTAAAAAATACCCATTCTGTATTCCAGAAATGCCTCTTTCATGATGAGAAGCAGCTCCCTTGAGGAGGTGCCACAAATGGGCTGGAATTACCTGGAGGTCAGAGGGGGAGTGCCTGACTCCTCCCACTGGGAGGCGCCCCTCAGCCCTAGACCCAGTCAGCCTGCTGGGAGAGGTCTAAAGGCAGTCAGTCCCAGGGCTGAGGGTCATCTAACTGCAGTGGGGCTTCCCTCGGTCCCCTTGGTCTCCCATTCTGTGCTTCCTCGGGCTTCCTGGTCCACTCTCAGCCCTGTCCTTAAATGCCTTTCACCCCTCCAAGCACCTGGCCTTACACTACCCCAAAGTTAAAATCTCAACTTGCAGAAAAACATTGCTGCTGGGTTTGGTTTTGTGTGTGTGTGTGTGTGTGTGTGTGTGTGTGTGTGTTTCATTTAAGGACCCTCAACTAAAGAGACTGGGCATGTGGGGTTCCCCCATTCTAACTCCCATTTGTAGTGACACTCCTGTGATCTTCCCCAGTGCCCAGCATACCAGCCCCATTTTACAGACTACTTGCCAAGATCAGTCATCATGCTTGTTCAAGCCAGTTTACACTCGATCTGTTTGGTCTCCAACCCTCCCACTACACCTACCTGGGGGCAAACCTGAAGACACAAGATGGAATAGTATAGAGCCCATCCCTGCAAGATTCCATGAAAGTGGTCCTAACAGAGCCACAAAGCAGAAACTATCTGCATTGTATTCCTTTGAAGAAAACTGGCTTTGTGGTCCTTAGAGATGTCTATTAAAAAGCATTCCTGCTCCAGGCCCTGGTTCTTGAGCACATGTAAGCATTTGGGAGACCCAGCAGTGTCGGAGGTGCAGCTTAATGCACACAGGGCACCTTTCCACTTTTTGCCTAGGGTGGCGAAGTTTCGCTCCAGAACCCCCTAGGGCACATGTGTCAAACACAAGGCCCGAGGGCCAAATCCGTCCCGCCAGGCCTTGCAATGTGGCCCGCACCGTGCTGTCATCACTGCACTCCACTGTGTTTCCATCACAATGACAGTTTATGACTGTTCAGTAAACCATTCGGCCCGCGATTTAGGCTGGATTTTAGATTTTGGCCCCTTCTCTGATTGAGTTCGACACCCCTACACCTAGGGGTTCCCGCCACTTCCAAGGAACGTGGAAGTGGGCCTGTAGGGGCAAGTGATGGGAACAGAGGTCAAGAAGTTACTGCCCTTGTGGCAAATGTCCAGTGTCCACGGTGTCCTAAGGCAGCAGTAGTTGCTCTCTGAGGTCGACTGAGTATTTGGGGACAGGCAGGTGCTGGGGTGGCACTAGTGAGTACTAAGTGAAGAAAATCCAGGTGGAGGGTTGCGCATCTGCCAGAGCCCTTTCCCTTTCTGCACAATAATTGTCTCACCTTTCCCTCCAACCCTCTGGATAGGTGTTCCAGGTTGCTTCCTTGCTTGTTTGCGGGCGGGCATGGGCGGGCGGCTCGCTGTTCTCCTTGGCCCCCTGGGCTGCAATCCGGAGAGACTGAAAACGCAGGCGGGTGGGAAGGGGCCCTGTGCCTTGTTCTTTTGACCTTGGAAGCCCACCAACAGGAACCGGGCCACTGTGCGCTCCCTGGAGATGGGGGGATCTACCGTGGGCTCACAGCCTGTATTCCTGCCCCACCCCCACCTTCGCCCTAAGCTTTGGCCCTTGGGCTCTAGGCGCAGGGCGCATGCACGCGGTGTGGAGCCTGTACCTGGCCTTTCGCTTGCCGCACGGGGGCGCCGCTCAGGGCGCGGGTATCCTCTCTAGCTCCACGGCCTCTCGTTGGCCGGCGTCTTCCTGGCGCTTGGAGCGGTGGGCGGGCCCTCTAGCCCCCACATCTCGATGGCCGGCGCTGACCCCGCCCGCCTGCTCGTTCCGGGGCTCTCGGAGGAAATGGCTGCGAGATCCTAGAGGCCTGGGAGCGGCAGTGAGTGGCGTTCGGATAGCGGCGGAGGAGCTGGCCGCCGCGGGGCCATGCTCTGGGGAGGGCGGGAGGGCGGCGGCGCTAGAGCCCGGCCCTCGCAGAGCTGCAGCGTTCGCGCCCGGCCTGCTCCCGCCGGAGAGGGAAGATGGCGGCGGCGGGGGAGGGGCGGGGGCCTGGGGTGGCCCGCGAGCTGAGGGTGCCGGGTCCGGTCCTGGCAGGAGCGAACTGAAAGGGGGGAGAGCGGACGCTGCCCTGAGACCCAGCAAGTTCCCGGGGCGGTAAGCTGACAACGAGGACGCCTGTTTCCAGTGGTCCTGGAGCTGGTGGGGTTAAGTTGTTTGTGTTTAGACCAGACGTCTCGGGTGGCGAAGTTTCGCTCCAGAGCCTGTCCCGGGGTACGTTCTGTTGGCTTGCGTGTAACCGGCTGGTTTTGACGAGCACCGACTCTTGCGAGGGCGACGGCGCGGTGTGTGGTTCATAGGGACCAGTTCGCTTTCTCAGCGTCCGCGCCCCGGCCGCGTTCAGTGTTCCTTGTCAGCCGGTGTCTGTGGCCACACTTGTGTCGCGGTGTGCCGTCCGCACTTTCGCCTCTGGCGCTCAGATCCGTTGGCTTTCTCCATCCCTGCGCGCACTGCTCCCGGCCAGGCCTAGAGACAGGAAGTCCATCAGCGCTTCTGCTTTGGATCTGGCACCTCGTATGGGAGCTTGGAAGGGCGGCTCTAGGTGACAGTAGCGCGATGACAAGCTGTGGCTGTTGAAGGAACTCTTCTTGCCTGCACCTTCGGTAGCAATGCCCTTGTCGTTTGCACCTGATGGAATGAGATCTGAGCCTCGTGTGCTAAGGGGCGTATGTTGTAGGCGGAGAAAGGAGGCTTTAGGATCTTTTCAGAATTCACATAACTTGTATCTGTAGGTTGGAACCGGGGGAAGCTGAGTAGTGATAATGTTGTAGTGATAATGTTGCAGTGTAGTTAGTAGTGATAATGTTGCAGTGTAGTTAGTAGTGATAATGTTGCAGTGTAGTTACTGTGCTTCAATAACGGCTTGCAGTTGGCACTGTTGTTTTGAGAAGGGTGCTTCTGTGTGTAGCCTGACCTCCAGGAAGCTGAAGTACAGGGAGGAGCTTGCCCAGGATTGCACGGCTGGGCTCTGACAAATGTTGGTTCTATGGTTTTCTGGAGCCACTTAGGCCCTGCGTGAAACATGCTTCCAAGAAAGGTGCTTTCAGCTGTGCGTTTTAAGGAACTAAGATCTCTGATCTTTGGAACGATCCTTGATTTATTCAGGGACTGTTCATTGCATCCTGTGTGCCAGGCACCAGGACAGAAGCAGTGGCCAGAAAGTTGACCCTCCCAATCCTGTAGACAAGCCTAGCGGGGACATGCGAGGTCATCCCAGCTCCTTCATTGGGCTCTGTGTTGTCAACCCTGCCCCCTGGAGCGTAGAGCCCCGTTGCTCTGTCTCTGTGACTGATACACGGTATAGTCATCTCAAAAGACCCAGCCCTTGCCCCATTAAGAAACTTTTTGCCTAATGCATTTCCTCAGCATTGTTTTCTGCTTACCTGTGTTCACCATGACTTTAGGAATAACATATCTTGTTTACTTCCAATTTTCCAAGAGCCTTTCCTTATCTTACTATTGGATTAAATGTAAGCTATTTCAAGCAAAGTGAAATAGCTTTAATAAATGGCACAAATAAAAAGTTGTATAATTGCCCTCTCCTCTTTTTTTCTTACTATTTGCTAGTACCCATGGTTACCAATTTCTTTCCTGGCAAAGGGTGGCATTCATAGCTAGCATGTGTGCTGTGAGCATCACAATAGCTTGTTGCAAATGTGTCCCTGGTGCTTGGAAATGGGCGCGCTGGGTGCTCCAGGTGGGCCTTGGTTCATGGGCTTGCCTGCACGTGGAGAAAGGGCTTTGGAGTGGGCACTTTGCTCCCAGTGGAGCTTGTGGGTCCTGCTTTTGATACTGAAAGAACCAGGGGGTGCCTAATTTCCTAGGAGTTCATCCCTGTAGCCCAGGGACTGATTTTTTCTAATACGTGTTGGCAAGATGTTCCAGGACCTAATTTTTCTTCATATGTCTTACACTATCGGTGACGGCTACAGTGAGTGATTTCATTTGACTCTTATAGAGTAAAGGTTGTGTTCACAGGCCAGCTCTCAGATGTCAGGTCCCTGAAGTATGGCAGTGTCCCATAAAGGCCTGATTTCTCATACCCCTGGTAGACTCAGCAAGTTCACTAAGAAAGCTTTTCCTTACAGTCTGGCTTTTGCATTTTTCTTAAGTGGTGGAGTCATTTACAGTGTATGGAAATATAATATTACCCTTTTTATGGCCAGCATGAAGTGACCTTGCTAATTCAATCACAGGTCTGTGATTGACAACTAATAGAAAGGCATCAGTCGGGAAGGAGGGGGCTATTTTGAGTTCACTTGGTCCAGTGCCCACCTGATTTGCAGAGCAGTGGCGTGATTTTTATGAGGCAGATATTTCTTTGGGCATCAAATTGTAGATGCTATGATTTTGTTTTTCATGTGCTGATACACTTAGGGGGTGCTTTAATAAACCTTTTTAAGACTGTAAACAGGGGCTTTTCCCAATATAAAGATAGCTGTACAATGATTTGGGTTATAAAGATAAATACACATGTAGAAAATTAAAGCAATATTAAAAAGTAAGAAGAAAGCAAAAACACCACTGAGCCATGCCAGTTGGGCCTGACATAGCTATTTTAATAGGTGACTTCCACCATTCGATGCATGTTTGCTCGCTGTGAGCCCTGGCTGGTTTTGGTGTGGTGGAATTTCAGGTAACCTTTTAGAAAACTGTAAGGCAGGAAAGCACAGCCCAGAGAGAGGTAACTTGCTGTTAGGTTTGCAGCTGGGGTTGAAGCCAGGGACATCCTGATGTAAAAGCCATTGAGCCCAGCCTCCAATCTGCTTATTGAGGACTTAGGGCACATGTCAATGGAGGGTGTCACATTGAGGTCAGTAGGGGAGGGCACTGCTGCTTGCCTTTATCAGGACCAAGAATGCTGAGTGGTCCCCCTGAGGTGCCACCCTGTACCCCATAGAGACACAGGCCTTGGATTCTTAGGGTTTATTGATTGTAATCTGAAGTTTTCCCCTTAGTTGTAGATGGGCGCGCTTGGGCATGCCTCTCTATCGGTGAAGATTCAGCTCTGCGTGGGTCCATGAAAATTGACACAGAAAATCTTGTTACTTATTCTTTAACACTTTTATTTAAGCTTGGACCTTTCCCACTACCCCAAAACCAAAATCAGACACTGGCCTCTGCTAACCTTGGGGAAAGAAAGGAAGATTCCAGCTGAAAACACAGTAATTCTTGTCTCCAAGGTCTCTAAGCATCATTTCTGCCCTAAGACCTTAGGGGATGCAGCTCTGCCCAGGAGACACAGGCCTCAGTATAGGCTTTTGTTCTCCAGCGCATCCTCTGAACTTTGGGGCAGTCGTGTGGGGCTGCAGTCTTCTCATTGGAATCTGCCCCTTCTCGGCAGTCATGTGAGGCTGGTTTAGGAAAGTCGGGAGTATCCAGAAAAGTCCGCTGCTGAAGCAGTGCTGTCCCAGCCTTGCAGTCTTCGTGGCTGGAAGGTCACTGTGGCCCAATAGGCAGCAGCCCTTAAGGTTCCCCCAGGAATCAGGTCTGTGCTCTGTCAGCCATTCCCAGAGGGTTCCAGTCAGGGCCTGACGCGCCTAAAGTTCCTGGGACCCCAGAGAGCTTTTGTGTAAGTTGAGTCTGTTGATATTTACTATGTTTGGCATTTACAATAGAGACACTTACTGTAAAACAATAAACCCTTGCTTATTAACATGAATAACGTTTTATGGAAACTATTTTCCAAGACAAAACCAACTTAATGAGAAAGGGGGCATTGTTTTAACTTTTTGCAAATCTCTTATATCTGGCTTAACTGGCAGCAGTTTGACTTTCATGTTTGCTTCTAGAATATTGAGGGAGTGACCCTTGAAAACAGAAACAATGTCTTCGTTGTGTAAATAGTTTGACCTTGGAGACTTTCGAAGCCTAAGGGCCACACTGAGAGCCTTTGCTCTAGAGCAGTGTTTCCCAGAGTGTGGTGGGGGTACGCGTGGCACCAGAGTTTGGTGGGGATATGCACTGCACCGTGCTTAGCTGCGCCTAATTCTACGTTCTCATGAGTACGAGGGGTACTCAGCGTTACGAAAATTATAGAAGGGGTACACATATGTCAAAAGTTTGGGAAACTGCTCTAGAGAATGGTTAGGAGTGCTTGGTTTTGAGAAGTGCAAGTTTTAAGAAACAGTAGACTTCCGACTTTAACATGGGGGATGAGTTACTTTTAGGAAGACAGGCAATGCCTTTGCATTTTTGAAATTAGCTCAACCACATTACTTGCTTTTTGGGAAAAGGCTGGTTTGTGGTCACAGGTGAAAGTGTTTTGGGGCACACCTCCCTCCGCCCCCCAGTGGACTGCCTGAAGTGAGGCCAGAGTGTCTGCTGGAGGGGAGGGGTTGGAGGAAGACTGCTTTTAGCTGAAGGGCACCTGTCCTGTAGGTGAGATGCCTGAATGGGAGAGGCCCTTGGTATTTGTTGTAGGACATCCTTTAATTATAGCCTCAGTAACAACTTGCTGCAGTGAAAATGGGGTGAGAGCGGCCTGTATGGGGCACTGTGGATGACCCCAGGAGATGCCCTGGGCACTGGGTTCTGGCAGCAGTGCTCCAAGAGGTGCCAGGAGAACATCCAGGTGTACCGGGGGCCCAGACAGACAGTGAGGATAGAAAAGCAGTAGGGTGGCCAATGGGGGGAGGGTCGGAGGGTCCTGGATTCTGTGTGTTTGTGTATTTACTTATATTTATTTGTAATTGATTTCAAAAGGGAGGGAGGCAGGGAGA